TTCCTTTCCTTTCCTTTCCTTTCCTTTCCTTTCCTTTCCTTTCCTTTCCTTTCCTTTCCTTTCCTTTCCTTTCCTTTCCCATATTATTTTCCAAGGCAATAAGAAAACTCAAGTGTGGACATCTAACCCTGTCTGATTTGCCCAAGGTCAGACACAATTTCTGGTGCAGCAGAGAAGCCACGCCAGAACTCCATGTCCATAAAATTGTAAGACCTTCCTCCTCCTTCTTGTCTTATGGGAGGTTTAATTCTGATTCAGGAAAAAATCCTCACAATTGGCACAACCTCTGTGAAAAATGAAACTCTGTTCATTAAGAGCTTTGCAGTGGCCAGGGACTACTTGAAATATACTGTGTGGGGAAATAGCCTCTGTATTCCATAAACATGCTCTGTAAAAAAATAACAAGTCTAAGAAAAGCTCATGTAAAAACCTAGCAATCAGACAAGAAAGTTACAATGAGAAGCAGAAAAAAGGCTGAGTAGTGGGCGAGTTTTCTTGGCATAAACCCATGCATGATGGACTTCACACACAGACTCAAAGAGGTCAAAGCTCTAAAAACCTGGTTTGCTGCATTTTCCCTCACTGTTTTTCTTTTACTTTCTACTACCTCTACTAAGCACTGCATAATATTCTGTTTGCCAAGGTCCTGGAGAGTTTTTACTTCCAACATCAGGTCAGCACCCTTGAGGGACATGGATACAGGGAATTATGCCATGCTTAAAGAAATAACAGAGTTTAGGGAGCAATTTTTTTGTTTAAGATAAAGGTTCTGTTCGATTGTATTCTGTTATTCTTAGCAAAACTGCATCATGCCCCATGGGTTTTTCCCTGGATCCTGCTACTGCTTTTCTTCCAAACACATAGTGCAATTCTGCTCCCTCTGAGTGCAATCTAACATTGTTTTTCCTGGACTAATTTAAGAGAGTGTGACAAAACACAAGTAACTCAAAATGCAATCCTAAAACCTGAGGTGAACTCAAGTAACCATTGCTTTCCAAAAGGCACCAGAAAAGTCTCCAACCCGTGGTAAGCAAGCAGTGAGCCTGTAAGCATTACAGATAATGTTGCAGTCTGCCTATTTCTGACTTTAGCATCTTTATCTTACCACTAATACCAGCACCTGAAAAATGTGACAGATATTATTCATGAAAACTGAAACATGATGTCTGTGCAAAGATACCATTACTTGATTTGAAATGAATGCTTATCTAATGTTGCCTCCTCCCTGGCACCCTTGCTGGCTGCCACACTTTCAAACTATGCATTCAGGTAAATCCCTCCACAATCACAGACCAGCATTCTCTGCAGAAAATAGACTGGAGCAGGACCACCAGGAGAAAAAATCTGCCCACAACAACCTCCCCTGCAGCACTGTCAGCGCTGCTGGTGGTGTTAGTGCATGGGAATCTCTAAGGGAAATTACTCAGTAAATGACTGAAAAGAACCAGAAAACATGACACTTGCCTTGACCAAGCTGAAAGAAGTTCTGCATCAACAGGAATGAATATAAAGCACGGGTTATGCCCCCACACTAAGGATCCTCCTCAGACCAGCCCAGAGAAGGCCAGGCAAGGCAGTGGTGCTCCCAGGACCCTGAGCCACACACACCCCTGGTGCTGATTCAGTTTCCTGCATTGGGCACTGGGTGGAGATGGATTTCCAACAGCTCTGCACTCATGGCAGCACAGCTGCTGCTGTGACACTCCACAGCTGACAGCACAACCCTTCTCTGCCTCCCATCAGGCTGTCACTGAACTGTTTGTACCTTTTCTTCCAGTCTTAGAGAAGACCACTGCTGGACAGAAGGCCCCAGCACAGGTAGGTGCTTCAGCTTGCTGCGAAGTGGCTGCTCTCATATGACAGCAGGCGACCCTGCCTTTCCCCCAGCTCCTACCCTGGACTCTTGAGGGGTCCTTGTAGCAGAAGCCCCAGCAAACAGTGCTGCAGTTCATACCTGCAGGTGTGTCTGCATGCATGAGAGCTTCTGGGCTGTCTCCTAGGATGTGCTGCACAAACTAATGCATCACCTGACCTTATATCCTGAAGTCCCCTCCATTTGCAAATTTTAATACCAGATATGCAATCATGAGATAACGTAAGCATCACCTTTACACAAAAAATCATGTAAATTCTAATATGCATGAGCCCCTTTAGATTCAGAAAATAGGTTTTGAAGACTGGTTGTCCGTCAGTACTTTGTCAGAACTCTCAACAAATGCAAAGATCTGACCTTTTCCCCAGACAATTTCCTTTTTATAATAGCAGGAAGACCTAACCAAGCAGTGAATTTCTGTGAGGATTACTGCACTTCTTGGGTGGCTGATACGACCTGGCCTCTGGCAGCAAGCCATGCTACGTACTCCAGAAATGCTCTGCATTTCAGAGGTTATTGCTTGCACATTACTGCCGGGCAAGTGAACGCTCCAAACACTGGAACAAATTCAAACGTCTTGAAACGAGATATCTTCCTCAGCACTGGCATTCGTGTGCCATGGCTGTAAATTATGCCCAGAGTGTTCATTTTCTTTTTAAATGTGTTCTCGTCTTGTAATAATTAATGGTGTCAGGTTACTGGTGTGAAAGAAGCCTGACTTTTACAACAACGATGGATTAATGAAGAACAGTCATGGCTGGAGTAGCAGCAATAAATTGTTAGAGGAGTGATGCACCTGAAGCAATACTTTCAAAGGCCTTAAATTATTTAAGTTTCAATGTCCCTCATAAATATTGGCTTTTGTTAATATTTGTTTTTGCGTTAAAAATGGAAGTCAACAGCTCTGGCAAGAACAAGTCTCTTGCTGATGAGCATGGGAAAAACATGCTTGTGCATTCCAAGACATCCTTGTCTTCCCCAGGGATGACACATCTGTAGATCTCTGGGCTTCTCTATCTGGGGATGTGACATTCAAACCCCACAAACTCAGAAAGGTCTAGAAGCCATAGCACTGAGCTCACAGGTCCAAATATCTGTCTTTAAAACTGTTATGAAGTGAAAAACTCTTAAAACTGGCAAAATGAGGAAAAAGCAGAGTAAGCAATTTCCACTTTTGGTAATTTTTAAAATTTAATCCATTTTACTATTCAATATTATAAGATATGAAATGGAAGAAGAAGAGGGACAAAGCCCTGCAGATCTATTGAGAGGGAAGAAAACATCATTTAAAACATTGGGAAACTTATCTGATGTCAAAAAGCACCAGATCAGGCTTTTAGAAACCACACTAAAGGACAAGGCAAAGGGAAAATAGTATATTCTCTTAATGTGCCTGACAAGAGATTCCTAATTGCTGGCATAAACTGATATAAAAATTGACTGCTGATATCAATGGAATTAGATCACTTTGTAACTGATGAAGACTCTGTATGCATTTCCCAATACTTACAATCAAATAATTAGGTGTTGTTAGTTAATGTCAATAAGACTGACGATTGATGACAAAAAAAATCCTCTGAAAATTACAGGAATTCTGCCAAACACCAGCTCAATTCAGACCATACAGCAAAGCTAATATTAAACCTTTTTGTAAAGCAAATAGGACCTAAAGAAAAGACACTAAAACCATTGAGAAGCTTCGCAATGAAATTGTAAAAATTTTCTTTGTCCTTGAATAATTTGTTTTCCAGAGATTATCTTCACTGTAATCTCATCATGGCCTCACACTCTTCCTTTAACTCCATCAAGACTTTCATCAGGCTGTGATCTGTCCCATGGGTCACCTTCATAATATTATAGGCCTTTAGGAAAGAACAGAAAGGGACATGTTAGTCATTGTGCAGACCATGCAAAGGGGCTGGATCCTGGAGCAGGGTGGGATGTAAGTACTGGTCCTCAGCTGGCTGGCATCCACTTGAATGCATGGCATGGCTGAAATAGGAGTGAAGCATCCCAAAGTGCATGATGACTTGTCCCTGACAGAGGAGGAGGCATTGACACATGGTTCTTAGGTGTTAAAACCCACAAAGATGTTGCACAATTGGATGTTTGGAATAGCAGAGAAAGATACTTTTGCACTGAGACATGAAGGGCGTTTCAAGATTGGTCAATTACAACATACAAGGTTTTGATGCATTATTTAAAAGATGACAGTGATGTTCATGATGTTAGGAGCCTGGAAGTCCTGTAAAAATAGAAATGGATTAATGCTTAACCCATGGAATAAAGTACCTTAGCCCTATCAGGAGCAACTATACATAGCATCAAACAAATGAATGCATTAATAGTTTCACTGTCAAAAGGCATGCAGGGGAATGGGTCTGCTGCTTTTCCCAGGGATTATTTTCTCTCTGTGTTTGCCATCTTCTACTGCTGTGCTAATTTACGCTTGCTGATATTGCCTGTAGTGTAGCTGATTTCCTGCCACAGATATGTCTGCAATGCTCTTTGCCCAGCTCATGTTTAGATCATCACTTTTCATACGGCATTTCTGCTTCTTCCTTCTATTAAATTCCTCCTGTAAGGAGGGAAGTCCTAGATGGAAGCTGATTCAGCACTTCTGAAGATAGAACAAAGGAGCTAGTAGTGTACTGGCAGGAGAAAAGATCACATATTTTTCATCATCCTAAACTGAAGAATTGCAAAAAAATAAATGCAGACTGTGTTTCAAAGGGTTCCCTGTCCAGTCAGCTGACAAAATTCAGCTAAATTGGCTTTGAATTGAAGAAAAAATAGGTTTTGGGAAGAAATGTTGAGGAAGGGGCCTCATTTAAATTGGATCGATTAAAGTAAATATATATTTTTGTGGAATGAATAAAAGCCCACTTCCAAATTATAGACACTGGCAAGCATATGGGAATTCCAGCACAGTTTATTTTTCCTTCAAATTTGCTAATACTTAAAAGAGGGAGGCAGCACAACATTGGAAGAACAAGTTGAAATATCAGTTAAAACGAATCATAGTGAGCAAGGAGCTCTAAAAGGAGTCAAATATATTTTAAGCTACCACAGTGCCCTACTACTAAATGATAAAATACATTTGGTTAAAAAGAATGATGGAAATACTTTCATCACTTTTAGAAATGGCAAAGATATGTGGCACTAATCAGAAATACTAAATTTTTGTAACGTGTAGCTGCACCCAGGTTAACTAGGAGGGGACAAGATCACCCTAGAGCAAAGTGGCCAGGTGAATTGGGACTGGATCCTGACACATTGGTGCACAGTGCTTGCATGCCCTGTCCCAGAAAGCTGATGGATTTATTGTGAATGATGTATGCTAAGAGCTGTGCATCTGGATACATCTGAGTGACAGCTCCTGGGGCAGCTGACCTGGATCTTCAGCCCCACTGCAGGATAGAGGTCAGGCTCATCGTGATGGACTTAGATCCTGACACCCTGAGATGCACAGCCAGAGACGTCTGTATAGATACACCTCCATTAAAAAACAATAAACCTTAATATCAAACTTAATGTTGAGTTAATGCTACCATTGCTGCCTTTCTCCCACCTCCATTTTCTTTTCACTCCTTTTCTTTCCTAAGTATGGCAGACAAAAGCACTCAGTCTTTATCCTTTTGTTTCCTTGGAGGAAATAATTCTTATGCAATGTACCATCTCACACACTGCTGTACGAGTCAGAACGAGCTGAGAACAACAGTGACTTGTATAATCTCTAAATTCAACTGGTATTAGGTTATCTAGCTGTTCTAGCAAAGGTCAGTGCAAAACTGGGGATAATTTCAGTTCCAGTGCAAGGAATTGTTTAACTGGAAAGAAGAAGGAACACGTGGGCTCTCTGCCCACTCCCCTGCTCTACTCAATCCCACAGCTCCCCAGCAGAGCTGAGGCTGAGCAGATTCATGTGGTCTGGTCTCCCTCCCAGCTAAAAGAGAAAATCTAATTATGAAAAGGTACAACACAGGCCACAGTGTCATCAGCTACGCCGTGTCCCCCTGAAGAATAAAATCCCCATTAGCTCAGAGGCAGAGCTGCTGCTCCGTGGATGTAAATGAGCAGCAGTGCAGGCGTTTGTGCCTGGTTTGGGATGGGACAGGATGCTCATGGCCATGGGGAAGCGTGGGCAATGCAGGATGGCACATCTCTGTCACAGGGAAAGCAGGAAGCAAATTGCTGTGTGACAGAGGGGCAGGAAGTATAGGCGAGTATTTCAGAGGGAGTATCTGTGGTTTTCCATCTCTCCTGATTGAAGGGAACAAGTTGTTAAAGCAGGCACAGGAATACTATCAATGACAGCTGGTAAACAGTTCAGTGTTTGAAGCAAACACCTAGAGAAAGGATTTCTTCAGTGTTGCTGTGAGACCTGGGAAGGATTTTACCCCAATTCCTGTGCTTTCTGCCTCCACAACAGGGATTTCTATAAGAAGAGAAGTTGTGCAGTAGCTGTGTAGACGTTCATGACACAAGACAGCTATACCCATCAGCTATCCCATGAAGTTCCATGACCATGCCATGCCAGGCTCTTCAAACTGTTTTCCAGACTGGGCTCCAGTTCCTGTATTTTGCTGACAAAAGCTTTCCAGATCTACAATTCAATCTGTCCTCTATTATATCTTTCATATATACGTCTATAAATTTAAAAAATAATATGTTGGTTGTAAAATAAACCAAGGGCTACCTTCAGTTTTTATTCCAGAGAAGTATCTACTGGTCTTAACATACCATGTATCTGCTGCAGAGAGGCTGTCAATCCCCAGCAGCTCTGAGGCTGTGCCTGATTAAACAGGATTTATATATGAGGTGAATTCTGCTCAGGTCCCAATTCCTCTGCACCTTCCATATCCTTCTTAATGCCACAGTGAAATTAGTCTGACGAGGGTTCCAACAGGGTGCTGCTATTCAGTGTCAGAGTGTATTAAGAAGAGTAATGAAGCAGAGAAGGTAATCGAGTTTCTGCTCTGAGCATGTGGCATGCTCTGTTGACACATCTAATCACAAAGGGGCAAATTGTGTTCTCATATAACTCTAGGACATTATCTGAGTAATATTAGGAATCACATCCTTTAGTCACAACAAACTGGGAATTATATCTTCCTCTAATTTGTTCCAGTGTAGACAGCAAGGAAGTGAATCAGTTGCAGAGCTCATCTGAAGAAGTTACACGGAGAAACAGGATGACAAGAAGCTTTTCTCCTCTCAGGTGTGCTCCCAGGGAGTGGGAGTTCGGTCTCTCCTTGTTTCACACTTGGGTGAAGAAGGGGAGGCTTGATAGGGAATAGGCAAAGCCATGACAAGATTCTACACCTCAGCTATAAAGCACTTACTGTGTCCTTGTGGAGCACCAGTGGCTTGGAGCCTCCATTAGAGGCTCACTGAGGTATGACACAGAAAGGCAAGCAGCACCTTAATGTCCCTTTGCAGAGAAAGGGGGGGTCACAGCCTAGAAAAGGTTCCTGTACTAGGCATTGCTCAGTTTCCAAAGGATCATAGAGTAGCAATCTGCCTTGCAATGGGCAGCTTCTTCACCAAAAACATATAAATCTCCATTGCAATGTCCACCTTCAGTGACCAGCAGCATTTGTCTCTAGGGGAATTCACTCCAGTTTAATCTAATGCAGTATCACATTAGAAATGCAATTAGAACAATGCCTGTTGACATAATTGTAGCAGTGTCAATGAAAACAGAAGCTCCTCTGTCTGGAGTCTCATTCCACTGCTAAAAGGGAAAGTCTGAATGTTTGGAAATTATGAATATTTTGGGGGGAAGAGCAGAGGGATTACCTGGCACATGACAGATATATTACATACTTCTGAATTATGCATAAAAACAGAATTGATTACTCTTCTGTCTGCTTTATTATGGTCAGAATTGGCTATAATTTAAGTAAAATATATCAAGTGAAGATTTAAATTATACCAAGACTTAGCAAGAGTGGCATCATATTAAATACTAATTTATTACTTCAGCATATGAAAATTATAGTTTTTTCAGCTTGCATCATTAATCAGATGTTAAAACCAAGGAGATATAGGGGTTGAAGAAAAGGTAAGTACAAAATACTAATACCTAGAGAGTCATGACTGATATTATCTTTACAGGAGACCCGGGCAGGAATGGAAAAGCACCTCTCCCCCACCTCCAGTGGAGACAACCATCCCCTTCCATCCCAAGCAGTTGCCCCAACGAGCTTCATATAGCATGAGCATTGATCCATTAATCAGAGGGAATGTAGAGCCTAATTCTTCACTTCTTTCCAACACTGGGTGCCAGAACTGGGCCTGCTCCTGCCCAGCAGATACAGGCAAGGAGCTGGGCCAGGTGGCTTTTGGCAGCACCAGCAAAGGCAGTGAGGAACTGTGTCAGGAACTGGAGGTGAGTGGGGAGCCAGGACAGGGAGCCACATGGAGCATGTGGTGTGTTCAGGACAAGCTGACCACAGGACAATCAGTAACATAAGAGAATAAGATCTTTTTGAGGGAAACTAGAGGCAGCACATCTTCCAGGGGGAGCAAAGCACCCCAGCAGTGACTGAGGGCTTAAGATGGGAGGCAAGATTCTACATCCTGGGGACATGTTGCACATAGAAAGGGATTATTTAATATATTTAAGATGATACTAATAGCAATATAACAGCAGGACAAATAAGAGCCCGAGGTATAAGGAAATGAATATAAAAGTCAGCTCTGGTACAAGAGGGATGGCTTAAAGCTGAAATGTAACTAACAAGGCACAGCTGCAAAACCAGATCAAAGATGATGAATGATAAGAAATATGAGGAATCAAGAAACATGCCTGTTGATTTCAGTGTGGCTCACAAGAAAATACACACATTAAAGACAAAGTTTTCCAGCCTGAAATCACAGAATCTGATAGGGAATAAGGAAGGTAGAAACTGCAGCTCTCCTACTCTTCCTGTACTTACAGTGCTCTCTGAATCACTTTGCTATGGGAATAAGGATCATATGAAGCACTGAGATAATTTTATCTCTTCAGATCTAATAGTAATTTTTCATCCAGGCACCTCTGAGCTATCAAACAGTAATTAGCTGTGACTGATGCTGGAGGATGTCAGTGCCTGAAATGCTGTGCTGAAGCAACAGTGACCCATCACCACACTCAGCTGCAGCCTGGGGAAACACCAGTGATGGAAGAAGTGGTGAGGAGTATCTGAAGGCATGAGGGGGGAGTCACATAGCAGTTTTGAGGGAAGCAAGGGAGGAAAATAGAGAAAAAATACTTCACCATACTGACCTGTTTCAAGGTCTCCAGTGCCTGAGGAAACATGCCTTGACTGTACTGCAGTTTGCCCACTCTCATCAGCTGGACAGCCCTCAGTGGATGGAAACCAGGATAATACAGTCTGTAGGGAAAGGAGGAAAACGTGTCACTGTCAGCTCTCACCTTCACAGTCACTGCCTCTGCAGAGAGCTATTAGGGTGGGACTGCAAAGTCATTGTGAATGTTAATAAGGTACTCAGAGAAAATTAGCTGCAATACCGAGAAGCATGAAATACTGAGGGGAATTAGCAAATTATTACTCTCCATCCCAGAGGAATGCCTTTAACATTATCCTGTTAGAAAGTGACAGGAGTGGGATTATTTAATTTGCTACTGTTGGATAATACAATAGCATTTACTGTACTTAGTATTGTTAACAGAAGTCCTTGACAATCTCAGGTCTCTGGAGGGGCATAATTTTGACCCAGTCCTGGATTGTCCAAGATGAAGGAGTGGGACTGCAGTGAAAGCAGGTATGTAGCATCATGACCACGCTTCTGAGGGTTTGTATGCTGCTCCCTGTTGCATAAAAAGAACTGGTTCTGCACATTCAAGGAAACATCTCACTTGGCTTGTTCATCTACACAAGGTATCTGCTAGTATGAGGATACATTCCTGTTCTTGATTAATTTCACAGAAGCAGAGGTTCTTTTAAAAAAAATCAGAATGGTGCTCTCTATATTCTAGGAAGTAGATGGAGAGTGGTATCATCATTAATTTCTCTCAAGAAGCTCTTTAAATGTTCCTAGTGGCTGCTTCACATTTTTAAATTCCACTGGCCCTTGGCTCATCATATGTGGATTGCACCCCAGCCCCATATTCTGGATGTGCAGATCATGATATCTTGAAAAAAGCATCTTGGGGGCTGTAGAAAGCCATGGATGTAACTTGCCTGGAACTGGCCATCGGGAAACATGAGGTGAAGGGACACACTTGGGAGTTAAGTTACTTACAAAAGACCTCATATATTTTTTGACTAACTATCCCAGAATCACAAAATAGTTAGGGTTAGAAGAGACCTCTGGAGATCACCCAGTCCAATCCTCCCAGCAAGGCAGGGTCACCTAGAGCAGGTAACAAATCCAGGTGGGATTTGAATGTCTCCAGACAGAGAATCCATTAATTCCCTGGGTGGCCTGTTCCAATGCTCTGCCAATTTCAGTGGAAAAAAGTTCTTCCTCATGTTTTAGTTTATGGTCAGAGCTCCTTGTCCTGTCACTGGGCACCACTGAAAAGAGTCTGGCACCCTCCTTTGAGAGGTTTAAATGCATTAATGAGATCCTCCTGAGTCTTCTCCAGGCTGAACAGGCCCAGCTCCTGCAGTCTCTCCTCATAAGAGATGCTCCAGACCCCTCGTTGTCTTTGTGGCCTCCATTGGACCCTCTCCAATATCTCCTTTTTTGTTTCATGTGCTGAGGAGCCCAGAAGTGGACACAGCATTCCAGAGGTGGCCTCACCAGGGCTGAGTAGAGGGGCAGGATGAGCTCCCTTGACCTGCTGGCCACACTGCTCCTGATGCACCCCAGGACACCACTGGCCCTCCTGGCCATAAGGGCACTGCTGGCTCA